GGATGAAACTGAGGCCGACACAGGCACTTAGTGTTGATATGGTTGTTGACTAGTTCACAGGCCATTGCCATTGGCAGACAGGCACCCAGTAAATGCTTTTTCAGTGGTCTGATCTTCTACAAAGAATGTATGCTCACACAGGATCTAGATGTCCTCAGTGGGAAAGTATATACAATTTTAAGAATGAGGAGGCTTTGGGGAAGAGATCCGGAGATGAGTAGATTATCTTTTTAAAGGAGGTGGTAAAGACTGCAAAGATGTGTTTTATGGAGTATTTTCAGGTACTCCAGGTGTCTATGAAAGCCTACTGAAGGAGAAGTTAGGTTTTGCTTTAAAACAGATCCAAATCCTGACGCCATCACCTAGCAGCTGGGTGATCCTGGGCAGCTTTGTTCGCCTGTCTGAGCCTCAGGTTTCTCACGTGTACACAGCACCCGCGTCTCCAGGGTTGCAGGGGATTGAATGGCAACGTGCCCGTGGGGCGCGTATAAAGTGCGTGGCATGCTGTGCTCTCGGGAGGCAGTTAAATGTAGATGCTGCCGCCGCCCTGATGATGCTAGTCATCCGTTTCTTCTTTCTGCCGCTTTTCCCCGCACAGGGCCATCCAGGAGAGCCTCCTCACCAGCTCAGAAGGCCTGGGCCCCGGCGCCTTGAGTGAGACGAGCCGTTTTGATAGCGACTTGCAGCTGGCCATGGAGCTCTCTGCCAAAGAGCTGGAGGAGCGGGAGCTCCGGCTCCGGGAGGAGGAGGAGGAGCTCCAGCAAGTCTTACAGCTGTCTCTCACGGAGAAATAGACCTTCCTGCTCACGGGCTGCACAAAGCAGAGGTTCTGGGCTGCACTGAAGTGCGGCATCGCCAGTGCCCCGGGGCTGAGGGACTGCACCTCGCATGGATGCGGCCCACGGCAGCTGCCCTTCCTTTCCACAGAGGTGCCAGACCAGGGGCTCCCAGGTCCATCCCTGACAACCCCCCCGCCCCGGGTAGGGGCTGGGGACCCACAGGCCCCATCTCCAGGCTAAGGGGAAGACAGCATTGGCACTTTCCATTGGCTGTGTTGGCTTGCAGGTCACATTTTTACTACCAGCTTTAGACAAAAACCCCAACCCCCGCAAGTTTGTAGATTAATTTTTATCAAGGAGTGATAACAAAACAAGTTACTGCAGAGTCAGGGTGCTTTTATATTATGACAGCAGCAGCCTTTGTAGAGCGTGGTTTATGAGAATTTATGAGACACATCTTCACAGTTCACCAAAGAAATGGATAATCTGTGCCGATCTACTTGTTTGTTTTTACCTTTATACAGGATTTCTAGGACACTATCCCTGCTCCTCCTCCATCTCCACCTTATTCCACCCCTCCCACCCCTCCCACCCCTCCCACCCCCAGCCAGAGTTCAAGAGGAGACATATAAACACTATGTTTTAGATTAGACTTAACTATTTGCAGCATCACGTTAGGATATACAAATGACCACGGATGTTGCCTTAGCCTTAAAAATTACCAGTAGTTTCAAACCACCTCACTCCACGCTGAGGGGTCTGATTTGAATTTCTAAAGGCACTTCCTTTGAGAGCAGGATCCTCTAGGCTAAATCCAAGGCAGCTAATCCTGGCCCCAAAGGAGCAGTGAGGAGAGCCTGAGGCTTGTTCTTGAAGGGGGCAAGCTGGCCAAAACATCGGACAGCACAGAACCAAACCAAGTGTGTTCCGCGCCCTCCCTAGGGACAGACTGCCATGGGGAGGTCAAGGGAGACCCCACTCCAGGCCTAGGCTCACTAGAGAGGAAGGGGTGGCCTTGCAGTTCGGAAGGGAGCTACGGGCGGAGCTCAATAGCTCCGCATTCAAAAGGGAAAATGAGGATTCCGCATTGCTTTTTAGAGTTCAAATCAACATCTTTCTGGATAAATATATTTTGTAACAGAATCTTTTTATTATTTTTAAAAGATAGAAAAACAACTACTCCCATCAGTAGCAATACAAGGGTATACATTTTCACCAGATTTTCTCAGGCCTTTTTTGGATACCTTTAGTAGTTTAACCAGTTGATCTGACCCTTCTGTAAAGAAGCACCGCACACCACACAGAAGAACCCCGGGGAGGAGAGCTGAGGGGGCCGCACTCTGGCCTGTCTCTTCGTCCCCACAGGCTGCACTGACATAACCCGGTCACAATGGCCTCCTCAGCTCTGCGTTCGTCTCCCCTCTGCTGCGCTGCTTTCAGGATGGGGGAGAGACCGAAACTACGCTGCACTTAGCATTGCTCTTGGTCACAGAGCCCCGTGCTTTGGACGGCCCACAACCACCAGCCGTCTCGGTCACGGTCCCACCCGAACTCCTCCTGCGGCGCACACGAGGCCAGGGTACCGCGGCGTCCCGCGGGGTGCAGACACGCAGCCCGGCGTTCTGTTGGCTCTGCGTTCGCCCCGAGCGAGGACGCGTGCTGGGAAGGGCCGCAGTCCAGCCGCATCGCTTACTGGGGTGAATCACAGTAACATCGGTGTTTGCGTTCCACGGTCCTGCCTCCTGAGGAAGACGACTCCCCGGGAAGTCAGTTAAAAAGGGCCCGATCCTTGTGTCAGTCAGTTGCAGCGTTTTCCATCTATGTGCTCGCTCTCTGAAAATGCCAATAAAGACTGCTTCCCGACAGGGTGCTCGTACAGTAGCCTAGCCAGCCTTTGGGTCTTTTTTCCTTTCCGCGTGGTTTCTTCGGGGGCTCAATGTCCCCACACTTCCTGTTTCGTGTGTGACTGGGACAGGGCAGTGCCTCGCGACACTCGGCGTCCGTTTCAAAGGCGACCTGCTCCTCTCAGCCTGCCCACCCGGGGTCGTACAGTCCGCACGCGCCCCTGCTACTCGTTTCACACGGAAACTGAGAGCCGGCCAGCGCTGGGGCTGCCGGGAGACACTGGTGGTCCTGCAGGAGGTGGGCTGGCTCTTGTGGAGTCCGGGAAGCCACGCCAACATCAGGTCGCTCATGGGACTGAAGATGCTCCCCTCTGAGGCTGAAGTGCTCGGTGAGGCTGCTCTTAGAAGGTCAGGTAATAATTTGGGCTTCCAGATTTAGCCTACACCCAATTACGTTGGTATTAAAAAACGGGGGCATGGGCACCTGGGTGGCTCAGTCGGGTAAGCGGCTGCCTCCGGTCCAGGTCATGATTCCAGGGTCCTGGGACCGAGTCCCTACATCAGGCTCCTTGCTCAGCGGGGAACTTGCTTCTTCCTCTCCCCCTGCCCTAACCCCCTGCTTGTGCTCTGTTTCTCTCTCAAATGAATAAAATCTTAAAAAACAAAACAAAACAAAACAAAAAAAACCAACACATAAAAACACAAACGGAGGCAGTGACCAGTGAAAAACATTTGGGCTCCAGAAACAAGGTCTTGGTATTTCCAGGAAGATGTGAAGGAGCTGCTTTGCTTTGGGGGAAAGTAGAAAATACTCTGAGCCAGTGGGGCACTATGAAGAAAACTCCATCGCCTTAGGCCAAGGGACGCAATACCTGTGGATTACTTAATGAAAAAACTAATAGTTTCTTCACCTTTAGGTTCACTAAAGCTTAGGTAGTTCAATACCAGCGGGAAACTGAGCCACTTCTGCATGGAAGACAGTGCCAGGAACTAACTATAACAAAGTGCTTTAGACATTCTGCTCCACGAGCAAGCTCGACACACCGTATGTAACGTGAGGTGTCTGCCTCTCAAGGAAGCGAAGTCTGCTCCACATAATGACTGGAAAGAGACAGACAGAGACTCACTGTACCCACGGGTTTCCTGCTGAATGCCGAAGACCTCAAGGAAAACGGGCTGCAGGACAGCCGCCTCACGGGAAGATTCGCAGTGCAGTTAAGTGATGGGGTTCAAAGTCCAAACTAGGCCCATGTCTGGAAATGTGTGGATTTCAGATTGAGGTCCAGCTGAAAAAAATGTAGTATTAATAAGACTTCCAGAGACCCCAAATCCCAAGCAGCACTTACATATTTATTAATCTCTATTTTAAAGTTAAGATTAATCTAAGATTAATCATTTTTATGATTGGTATAAATGAATACGTTCATTTGGGTACACGGTAGGTATTCTGAGCACAGTTCGATTTAGGAGGCTTAGGCTGCCTCCCCACCCTGTATTCCCAGAGACACAGGTAAAGGAAATAATGCCACTTGAAAAGTACGAGTGGTCAGTCCTGGTGCATAAAAGTTTTCAGTAGAGTTCTGTGTTCTCTCTCTCTCCCAGAATTGAGGTTTGTATCCTTACTCATCTCTGTAATAAGCTGCTTTCTACAAAGATTACTCTGTCCGCCTTTTGCTTGTAATCTCATGCTCAACAGATGGTATTGTTAGAATGAAGACGTAGGCTGGGTTTTGGATTTGTACATGGAGTACCTATTGCAAGGTTGTTTCAGAAAACTGGAACATGATTCTATGTAAGCTGCCTAGTGATTACTGAGCAAATGGCAGTTTATAAGGTTGGTTAATGGGCCTACCAAGTTTTTACTGTTTCCCTCTAAAATCCTAAAAATTTCAATTTTTTAGGCAGTGTATCAAAATACGGCGTTCCAGATGAGGTGGGGATGCACCCTCCTGGGACTTAGCGGTCAGTGCCAGCCTTTCAGAATCCCACCTGCTTCTCCCTGCAGTCCATCAATAACCCTGTTTTTTATGGGACAGGCCAAAGGTGGTGACCCCACCCTTGTTGGTACTGGTTTCACGGTGTTTGATCTTCATCATAATTAAGAAAGATAAAGTGTGTACAGCACCACTTCGCAGATGAAAAAAACCGAGGCTCTGCAGAAGCAGGGACACAAATCCAGGTCTTCAGACCCCTGGCCCGGCCTGAGATGACTTGTGGCTCAGTCTCCCGAAATAATACCTTGTCTTGCGGCAACTGTCTTACTTCACATACAAATTTTAAAATGCAACTTCACGGTGCTTCCCTGAGTAGATCAGACACGAACACACACCTGTACTTTAGATGCTTCGAAAATAATCACTAGGAGTCAAATAGCATGTAAGATTTTACTTTAATTTTAATTGACACTTTGCCCAAAAGCACAGAACAGTGAACGTTTCAATGGCTCAATGTTAGGGTTACACACAAAATCCTTAAGTCCAACAGTTACAGTATCCCACATTAGTTATTTCACATTCAGTGTGGGTTGTTAAAACACATCAGTGCAGTGACTGGAATACAAGACAAGCATTTCAGTTTAATAACAAAGAAAATTAAGCCTAGCACCTTTAAAATAAATACTGATAACCACTTTGTAAGTACAAAAGTATCTTTTCAATAGGAAAAAAAAAATCCAGTTCAACAATGCAAAATAGCAGCATTTTCAAGGTTGAGATGAAATCTGTGTTAACACACATCCACCCGCCACTTGGCCTCCTACCATGAACACACACTTCTGTGGGTTGAGGACCTGCCCACCCCGGGCTAAAAAGAGCTCCTGCTGAGTTTCTTTTAGATTCCACATCTGAAAAGCTGCCACAAGTTTGAGGCCAGGGGCTGGAAAGGCTTGCGTGCAGTCCCAGGGAGATCCATGTGCTTCAGCAGGATGGAGCGCTTTTTCAGATGGGCCAACCAGTAACATTTCCAGCCCAACTCCGAGCCTTGCAGCCCCAGGCTGCTCCTGGTCACAGGCCTAGCTGATGTGACCCCGAATTCGGGGGGGGGGCACACAAGTGCAGAGCCCGATGTGGCACGAGGAGTGACGGTCTACGTTCCCTAGAGCCGACACTGCTCTGCAACCAGGGCAGTCCAGGCCAACGCAATCTAACTAAACACAGACGTGATTCTTAACCCCACTGTGGTCAAATGGTTCTCAAGGACGGAATGTCTACATGTTAAGTATTCCCCCTATGAATATTTTCAAACATTCAGGATTAGTCCTTTCCAGTGTGGTTTTCCCACCACTCGCATAGTTAACTGTTTTCCCATCTTTATACTGAAACTTGGAGCTTCAGGTCTTACTTGTAACAAGTGTTAAGTGCAGCCAGATATACAAAGAAACACCAAAAGCAGACTCTGTTATTTACATTACAGCATTAGGAAAAAATAACTGCCAGATGTTTTTTCTAAATCATTTCACATTTATCAACTGTCCAGACTGAAGGTCATTTCCAAGTGGCAAAGCTCTGATTCCAACTTCTCCAATGACCCATGTGCAACACAATTTATTCTTTTCCCCAATACTCGTGGAAGAACTTCTTCGCTTGGCTGTCACCGACGCCGAATGGGCTTGTAGACACAAAGTGCCATAAGGATCATGGTCACCAGCAGGATGCTGAAAATGGTTCCCATCAACACTGCAAAAGGAAAACAGGTTACCTCCTAACGGCAGCTCCACGTTCTGTCATTCATCCATTCTTTGACGATGATTTGTCAAATGCCACTCAGTGCCAGGCACTGTGCCAGGTGTGTGGGAAACAGCCACCAACAGATTCTCTCTTGGGATGTTTCAGGGGAGGAAACGTAATCAAGTAAGAGCAGCTCACAGGGCCTGAAGAAATGTGACAGTGACGGGGGCAGGGGCCTGGGGGGGTAACAGTAGGTAGGGCAGTAGAGAAAGCATCTGAGGAGGTGACACGCAAGCTGGGACCGCAATGAAAGGAGGAAGCCAGCCCCATGAAGATCTGCAGGGAGAGCACTGTGGCCCGAGGGTCAGCAAAAGCAAGCCCTCGGAGCCAGACAAGCCCAGAAAACCAATGAACAGAAAGAGGCAAGCATGGCTGAGGGGGGAAGAAGCAAGGCAGGAAATGAAGCCAGAGAGCAAGGCTGCAGCTAGTTCGTGCAGGGCCTCGTGCCCATGAAGGCAGCATGGGTTTACTGTAGGTTTAAAGGAAGGGCCGAAGGCAAAGAGTGACATGATCTGATTCAGTTGGGAAAACAGATCCTTCTGGCTGTACAGAGAACCATCCGATTGTAGGAGACAAGAACAGAAGCAGGGAGCCCAATGTTTTTAAAGCCATTCGTAAAAACTGGAGATGGAAAAAAAGAGTAAAGCATTTCAATCTCTAGAAGAGACAAAGGCCTTCTGACCCAAGAAGCAATGAACTAACTTCACAAACCTATTCCATTTTGGAGTCAATTTCACGTCTAAAATCTCCAGGGTGCTCAGGTGAGAAATGGGGCCCCCAACTGATCACTCAGGTTGAGCTCCGGTATAGGACTAGACCTAAGGCTTTCATGTAACCAACAACCCACTGAAGGGAAGGGCAATCCCATTTGTGTGACTACCTCAGAGCTCTTATGACAGTTCCAAATGTTACCTTTACCAAGCAAGTGTACATTTGTTTGTAAGGATGTGGGCCCATCCCAGGTTCCAGTGGGAGCCTAACCATGGCTGTTCTCCAGTGTGGCTACTGAAAAAAACAAGATTTGACCACAGTTCTATGTAAATCCGTAATCTGGGCGTATTTGTGACCCCTACAAAATGCCCCCACATGGAACCCAGTTATTTAAACAATGACCACATAGAAACACTTCTTTCGGTGAGGAAGAGGAAGAAAGAACGTGGGTGACAAAGACAACCTACTACCCATATAAGCTAAATGTCCTATCTCAAAACAGGCCTTGTTACCTAAATACTTGCTCTTATTTTCAAAGTCTTGAATTCCACAAATTTCTAAGGTTCTCACTGCAATTGGACCTCAAGTAGCCTTACTCCATTTAAACCATTTTCTTGAATTTGACATTCTGAAAGGACTCTCAAAAACAAAACAACCCCACCCCCACCCCCCACCAAAGCAGGAATGCAGGGGGCTGGGAGTGGAGAATGGAATCTCAAAAGGCATTTAAAAAGGTTTAAAATCATGGGTTGTTAGGTACATAATGTCCATTTGGATAGCTATCCATTTGGGGCTTGATGAATTCTCCCATTCTTCATCTTTTTTATCTCTCCTGCACTTTGCACATAGTTATTAGTTGCCTGAACGGTAGGCTCAGGCAGAACCTAAGACTATTTAGGCCCTTCCTTACTGGTCACTTCCCATTGCTGAGCTTCATTTCCTACAGCTATAAAATGTGGCAAGTGAAACCCACCTCAAGAGGGTTTCCTGAAACCCAACTGTGGTAGCCTATGAAAAGCACTCAAGAAAGTGCAGACATACAACATGCAGACGATAAATGAAAGCTGTTATGACCAAAACAGGCAACACAGATGGCACAGTGGTCAAGAATCCAGGGTTTGGGGTCAAACCGTCTGGGCTCCCATCTACACTGACAGGCTATGTGTTCTCAAATAAGTTACACAATCTCTCTGTTTCCTCCTCCGAAAGAAATACCCACTGCACAGGATTGTTTAGGGTAGTGTTTTCCAAACTAGTCCTGTGGCAAAGGACTAGTTTTTATAACTTGTATGTTATATGACTATGTTCATGACTAGTAAGCAGCTCCTTCTACCTATGAAACATGTCAGTCCAGGGACACCTAGGACTGGTCTCTACTTGCTTGGATGTTTCAACAGGGTCAAATTGTTAAATTCCTAAACACTCTATTTCTGTAGTCCTCTCTTTGCAGATAGTTTGGAGACTCCACTGGTCTGCAGACCACTCTTTGAATAGTATTATTGTACAGCAGTGGTTCTCAACCAGGAGGATTTTGCCCCCAGTGGACAGCTGGTAATTTCCGGAGAGATTCTGATTATCTAGACTGGGAGTCAGGTGTGCTACTGGCGCCTAGTGGGTAAAGGCTGGGAATGCCACCCAACATCTTACATTGCTCAGGAGTGTGCCTCACCTCCCCCACAAAGAACCATCAGGTCCACCATGTCACAGTACCCAGGTGGAGAAACTCTGCTCCAAAGGACTAAGCAGCAGAACATGTGGAAACCACTCAGCAGGGTGCTAGGTACACAGTAAGTGGCCAATACCTAAATTCAATACAGGAATTCATGTAGTGTCAAGAGAATCCAAAAACGATACTACACAGCACAGAGATACAGATGCATCACTGATGTGCAGTGGAAAGAAAGGGCTTTGGCAGAAGAGAAGGAGTGATTGTGAATCTTGTCAAGCTCTAAGCTCCAGGACCCCTTCCATGGCCCACGTACACCATATGTACCTAGGCGTGTATTTATAGGTCTTTGAGAGCTCCTCCCAAAAAGTATGTTTCAAGCTCCACAAAACCTAGGTTCCAGGGCTGGTTTCCTATGTTCTCTGAAAGTCCTGTGCCCACGAAACCTTTAGTAAGCAGACACGGCATAAAGCGAAAAAAGTTACCATTAATGTACATGGAAAAAATTCTGAGCTTCCCAGACCCCAAAAATAACCTTAGGCTTTTCTGACACCCTGAGACACATTTTAGCTAAGGGATACACAAAATAAATCGAGAACACGCACAGATACTCACAGACACGTTTCAAAGCCATAGGGGCATGATGCTAAGACGCTGAGTGTGGTTCCGGGGACGGAGTTTGGTGGTGCCACTCTCGCTGCTCGGGGTGTGCAGTGCTAAAAAAAAACTGCTGAGCGCTCTTTCCACTTTTTGCCATTTTTTGTAAAAAGGAAAAATCCTCTTCGGATTTCTTTAGGTTAGCGAAAACAGATACTAACTTGGGTCTTTCCTAAGAGTGAAAGGGCATAACGAGAACTTTCGAAAAGCAGAGGGGGGGGGGGGTACCAGTACCGGCTCCTACCGCTATCCTCGCTGTGTAAACGTGGGCAAATAACTTCACCTCTCTGAGTTTCATTTTCATTCGGAAAACGGGGCTGCAATTCTCAGCTTTCTCATTAAGCCACCCTTGTTGCCTAGCCCGGGCCCACGCAGCCAAAGACGGAGCCCGACTCCCAACTCATTCGCGCAAGCAGGACACAAGCGGAGCCTATCTCGCACCAGGCCTGCCGCGGAGTGGGACGGGCTCAGGCCGGCCGCACCTGCACCCCCGGCCCCCCACGTCCCCTCCTCCCCCACGTCCCGTGCACCCGCCGCCAGCCGGCCCGCGGCCGCTCACCCAGGTTCTGCCCACGCAGCACGGCGTACGGACGACTCCGCTCCGGCGGCTCCACGGGGCTCGGGGCCTCCGCCTGCCGCGCCAGGAGGCTGCCCAGGCCGAAGAACAGCCACCAGCACACAAAACGCGACATCTTTCCCTGCCGCAGCAGCGGAGAGCGCACTTCCGCCAAAAGCCCCGCCTCCGTCCCCGCCCCCGTGACGCCTTCCGCCGCTGCCTCCGCCCACCCGGCGTGGGCGTTGCCAGGGTAACCATACGCCCGGGCAGAGTGTTGCCCTGTCGCGCGAGGTTCCTCCGGGATTGACATTCCCCTTGGCCAACGTTTCCGCCCGGGCCAATTTTTAGCGGGATCACCGGTCCGTCTGGGGCAAACGTCCATCTCGATCACCATTCCGCCGTGAGCAACGTTTCCCTTTTTGTGAGTACCAGGCGGGCCTCTTTCTATACAGGGCTTTTGGGTCCGTTTTTGCGCCTATCGAATATTTTTTAATGAATCCTTGTATTTTCTTATTAGATCTTCGCTACAGGCCCAAGAAATAGACACTGTATTGCCATTTGATAAATGCCACCTTCTCAGAAAGCCCTTACCTGGACATCCTTTTCTAAAATTGCAACCCTCCCACTCGCTCAAAATACATATACTCTCCCTACCCTTGTTCCCTCTTTCATCCCCCATCCCTCTTAACTCATCCCCATTTTCCTTATACAATTAGTGTACACTTGGCTATTTTCGGAGTACCTGCTATCCTCCCTAGAATGTAAGGTCCCCCAAGGCAGTGTTTTCGTTCTTGCTCACTGCTCTGTCCCAGAGCCTAGAATGATAACATAATAGGTGCAGTAAAGGGTTGCTGAATAAATGAGCAAACAGAGCTTAGTTAAGTGTTTGGCTTAAGGCTACACCTCATTTTTAAGGCTTAATTTATAGTGGGGTTAACACTGTTTCCCTCACAATGTATGTGTGATGCAAAGAGATGGAAAAACATTCTCTCAACTCTCGATATGGTCCTAGCTTGTGAAAATAAAGAGAAGCCTTGTCAATGTGGACTTCGCATGCTAGAAGGGGAGGCTGGAAGGGACAGTAACAGCACTCAATGTCGGCTATAGGAAGGATTGTCAATTACAGATCCAACCCAAGAATCCTCAACAGGAAAGAATCATCAATTACAGGGCCCAGCAGGAAAAGATGCACATTCCATCTCCTACAAGAAATTGACAACCCCTGCAACCCAAACAACCCCTTAATTCTTGCTTTTCTCCAATGGACTTTCCTTCAAAACAACCTCTCCGAACTTCCTCCTTCTTTGCCATAAAATAAGTCCCTCTCCTTTGTTTGTTGAACTTGTCTATGGTTTTGCCATAGCTTGCAGGTTCTGAATTGCAATCTCTATTAATCCCAAGTAAATGCAATTTTGCTGGTCAAATATCTGATTGTTTTTTTAAACCTTAACAGGAGGTCCCAAAGGGGACTGTCTTAATTTATTCAAAAAAATATATAATAGATGCCTCTCACTCCCCTGATCTCATATAACTTTCATGCTAGTTAGAAAGACAGATATTCAATAATCACACAGAATTACTTAATTCAAAATTGTGATAGATGACATAAGAAGAAATAACAACAATAATAATCAACAATAGTAATACAATATAGTAGTAATACAATACAATAGTAATACAATACAATAATAATCAACAATAGTAATACTGAGTTTAGGCATCTGAAAGGAATATTGCCATTAGGCTGGCAGAGTTCTTTCGTGGAGATCTGCCTGGGAACTGTTGGAATGGAGGGCATGCAACAAAGAAGGAAGGAGAAAACTTCTCTTTAGCCAAGATCAGGGACCTGACTCATTTTTCTTGGTGGGTCAATCAGCGCATCCTAATATCCGTGGGTTCCTGCTGTCTTCAAAAGTAGAAAGAAGCCGGGGCACCTGGATGGCTCAGTTGGTTAAGCATCAGCCTTCAGCTCAGGTCATGATCCCGGGGTTATGGGATCGAGCCCCGTGTTGGGCTCTCTGCTTGGCAAGGAGCCTGCTTCTCCCTCTTCCCGGCTTGTGCTCTCTCTCTCTCTCAAATAAAAAAATAAAATCTTAAAAAAAGAAGGAAGTAGTACAGCATAGTGACAAGGCCTCCAATCTCAGTCTTGCTGACCACTAGATCACCTCTCTGGGTCTCTGTCTGCATCTATAAAATGGGGATGATAAGAGCATTTGCTTCTGCATTGGTAGACGATTGAATGAGATAATGCATGTAAATGACATGATACATTATAAGTGATTGAGATTATTCTGGAAGTATTCTGTTATTTTGGATTAATCTGTTATTAGTCTGGAAAATATGTCTTAGAAAAGTGGGCTTAAAATGGACCCTAAAAATCATTGTAGTCTATCTAATAGTTTGTGGATTATTGCAATGCCTAGCTTTATTTTCTTTCTTTGGCTGCCTATCATTTAACCATTTCGGTTTAAACATACACACCCTTCAATAAAAGGATTAGGGGGGAAAAAAAAGAATAAACAATTGTTTAATGAGAATGTACCGTGTGTAATTATGCCCCAGGCTCTTTGGCCTCGTTTTTGTTTCTGCTTCAGGATTTTTACTGTTCCCTTTGCCTGCAATGCTTTTCCCTGGGACATGTGCCTGGCAGGCAGCTGTACACCACTGAGGCCTCCGCCCAAGTGCCCATTCTTCAGAATGCCCTTTCCGGAGCCCCCGACACAGCCTCCACACTCAGCCCACCTTCTCCTATTGTTGCCATTGCTATCGCAAGTGATTCTGTTCTCTGACCTTTCCCCGTTGTTGCCTGTGTTCCCTACCAAACTGTGAACCCCAGGAAGGCAGGACAATCACCAATCTGCCCCTGGCGCCTGGAACAGTCCTGGAAACAGGAACATTTTCTCAAATGTCTGGTGGGTGGATGTGGAGCAACAATGTAGAGTAAGCAAAAAGGCGAGGGGAGGAAGAAAAACAATAAAAGTATTGAAAATAGCCTGTTTTCTCCACTTAGTAACTTCACATATATTTGTATATTACTAAAATAGCAGACCGTTTACAATTAAATATAATAATTTCTACCTCCAAATTCTCACAGCCCTTGACTTTTTTAAAAAAGACTTTATCTATTTGACAGAGAGAGAGAGAGAGAACACAAGCAGGGAGAGTGGCAGGCAGAGGGAGAGGAAGAAGCAGACTCCCCACTGAGCAAAGAGCCCGACACAGGACTTGACCCCAGGACCCTGGGATCATGACCTGAGCTGAAGGTAGACGTTTAACCAACTGAGCCACCCAGGGGGCCCACCCTTGACCTACGGATGCTCAGCTTATTGTACTTTGTTTTCTGGTGACTTGTGAATGTCTTATTTCTCTAACTGGACTATAAATTTCTTCCATCAAGGGTGCAGGACATTTGTTTAATTTTAATTTCACATAAACCATGAATAACATTTAGTAAAAGGACATTCCTAACATTGCATGGGATATCATATTTGTTGTTTACCTGAAATTCAAACATAACTGGGCAATCCTGTGTTTTTATTTGCTAACTCTGACCATTCTACCTTCAGAGTACAATCTGAAACTCATTTGTTTTTGTACCCTTCTTCCCCAAGTTCCTAACGTGGTGTGTGCTTTGCACACAGTAGGTGCTCAGTAATGCTTGTGTAATGAATACTTGCACGATCACAGACTGTAGTGTTTATCTGTGATATCCAAGTCCCTACATTTCAGGTAGTACATTTCTAGTTATAGTTTTTTCCTGTAAAACATCAACAAAAGCAAAAATGACAAAATTTTGGGAGTTGCCAATTAACCAATCGATCAACTAATTAATATTGTGGTTAAATATACATAACATAATATTTATCATTTTTACCATTCATAAATGTACAATTCAGTGGCATTAAGTACATTAATAATGTTGTATAATTACCATTACTGTTATCTATATCCAAAACGTATTCATCATCTTCCACTAAAACGCTCTACCCATTAGACAATAACTCTCTGGTCTACCTTCCCCCAGGCACTCTATTCTACTTTCTGTCCCTATGAACTTAACTCTTCTGGGTACCTCATGTAAATAGAATCATCTAATATTTGTCCTTCTGTGTCTGGCTCATTTCACCAAATAATGTTTTCAAGGTCCATTCATAGGATCACATATTTCCAAGTTTCATTCCTTTGTGTGGCTGGATAATATTCCATTATATATATTTCTTTTTTTAAGTTTTATTTATTTAGGTAATCTCTACACCCAACATGGAGCTCGATCCCACAACCCTGAGATCCCTACCCGAGCTGAAATCAAGAGTCCAATGCTCAAATGACAGAGTCACCCAGGCACCCCCATCCTAGTAGTTTTAAAGTCGTATATCATTGTGGTTTTGATTTGTACTGGGAGGCACCAGTTTTTTAAAAATTTATATTTATTTTTTAATTCCAATATAATTAACCTACAGTGTTATATTAGTTTCATTGCATAATATCACAATTCAGCAATTCTTTTTTTTTTTAAATAGGCTTCATGCCCACCGTGGAGCCCAATGCAGGGCCCAAACTCATGACCCTTGCTAGGCTGATCAGAAAGCCAAGGTGCCTTCAAAGAGACTTGCTGGCCTCTGTGGCCTGGGAAAGTTCTGGTTCTTCATTCCTTAAGGTGAGCGGCCTGCAAGTCTCAAAGCAAGGCAGTTAGTTCTGTTACAGGTCAAGGGCCTTAGGTCAGCAAGTAAGGAGTGTGTTCACTTGAGGCAAGTTACCCCCTGAGACCAGATGGAGTGCTGTTAGGGCATCATGGTCATTTTCTGGTGAGAGCCACGTTCCTTGTTCATAGCGGCTGCCTTCTTGCTTTGTCATGGTGGGAGGGACAAGGGAATGCTGTGGGATCTCTCTTTTTTAAAACTTAATTTAATTTTTTAAAAGGTTCTATTTATTTATTTGAGAGACAGAGAGAGCACAAGCAGGGCAGAGGGAGAGGGAGAATCAGACTCCTGGCCAAGCAGAGAGCCCAGTGTGGGGCTTGATCCCAGGACTCTGGGATCATGACCTGAGCTGAAGGCAGTCGCCCAACCGACTGAGCCACCCAGGCCACTCTGTGGGATCTCTTTTATAATCCCATTTATGAGGGCTCCACCTTCATAACCTAATCACCTCCCAAGGCCCCACCCCCTAATGCCATCACATTGAGGGTTAAGATTTCAGTATATGGATTTAAGGGGACACAAACATTCAGACCATGGCAGGGATTATTCACAGTAATGCAAAATAGGGGCATCTTGGGCAATAAAGAAGGGGGGTCGTGTCCATGTTTGAGGTGATTCCACTGAGATGTTCAAGAAGGCTCGGGATATCCCATAGTGAAGATAGAATGAATTCTGTTTTTGCCTGCCCAGACTCTATTCCCCACCTTCCAATTATTGCAGGGGACCCGTGGGGAATCACCCATCCTTCCAGGTTTATAGGGTAATACACCTCTTTCCTAGCACCACCAGTGAGCACATGACCCAGCTGTGACCAATCAGCATCAGCCATCCCTCTGCCTACAGTGATTGGTTCAGAACCTGGAGCATGTGACTCGGATGGTTTTTTTGGGTTTGGTTTGTTTTGTTTTGTTTGCCTGAGTTGTTAAAGGCCATTTGGGGCCTCTGTTGGGACGATGGAGTCAACCCGGAAGAAAAGAAACCTGAGAGGACCACGGTGATGGAAACGGTGGAAGTCTGATGACACTGAGCATCCGGCCGCGACTCCTGGGCTAGATTTTGCAGTCATGCAGAATTCACGTGCAGTCAGGCAGTCACGTAAGCCAATCGATTTCATTTTTTGCTTCAGCTTGTTCGTTGAGTTGGGTGGCTGTGATTTTCACCCAGAGGGGTCCTGACACGTGGTGGATGCAGAGAAGCCTGAGGGGAAGAAGAAGTACTCCAGTTATCTTAGCAAACGGAATGGCTGTCTCGGTGACTGACCTGTCGGGTCAGCTAACACAACCATCTGCACTCTCGCCTCCTCCCTCCGACTGGGGCAGTTCATCTCAGTGCGCGTGGTCGTCCAACAGGAATCCCCATATGGCCTTCATGTCCTTTAGACTATTTTTCTTACGTGGGCATTGAAGAGTACGTTTTGAAAACGTTAAAACTCCGGCAGAAGTGGAGTGTCAGATGATGACAGGGGGACTGGCTTCCAAAAAAGTTATATATTTAAAATACAGCTGCAAACTGTATATTTTTCAACTATATTTAGAGCAGAGAAGCAAGGGTCTCCTATACCATTTGTCCCTTCTGTTGTTGATTAAGGTTGCCTTTTTTATTTTCCTCAAACAGAATCATGTTTATGCTCTTGTGTCCTGAGACAGGGTGAAATTTAGCTCTGTTAATATTTTAAAACCATCAACTCTGGCAGCTTTTGCCTTCTGCCAATCCGAGTGCACCTACTTTGAGTGCTTCTAAAGTTACATATTTTGTTTGTTTGAGGACACCAAGTCACCACTGTATTCCAGAGACTTGTGTCCCTCGCCAGGGAGTTTTCTGTGCAAATGAACCTTCTTCTTTTTTTTTTTGCTATAATGCCCTTTCAAAGTTTGTGTTAAGACTCAGGAACTAACTCCAACAAGTAAACCATTTGGAATCTGTCACCAAACACTTTTTCTTCCAATCAACAGGAAACAAACATGAGTTCATTTGATGATAAAGAATGATCTCTATGTTCTGCAATTCGTGTGGAAAGGCTGCTGCCCAGGGAGAGGGCAAGGTGGGATAAAGGATCCTTGAAGAAATTACCCTGATACTTAGATTTGCTGGATTCTCAGTATTTCCTTGGGGGCTGTGACAGGTACTTGTCTTTGCCTCAAGACCCTAAGTATCCACACTTCCACTGACCTGGGGATTGAAGGACACACCTAACTCTAGATTTGAAGGAGTTAAATGAGACATTTGCAAAACAACAGAATTGACAAGCGATTGCATCCCTCTTGGATTATGTGCCTTGAAGCCGGTTTTCTCTCTGTACATTTCTAGGGTCTGGAAAGCTGCCACGACCCCATCATTTTCCTTACCACATGCTTCTAACTTTCCTTTGGGAAAGTCTGTTTATTTTCCTCTCTCTGTACCCTGAACTACTCCAGGCAAAAGTAGAATGAGGTGGTTCCAAGCATAGATTCCTTTTTTTTTTTCATTTTATATTATTATGCTAGTCACCATACATTCCATCATTAGTTTTTGATCTAGTGTTCCATGATTCATTGTTTGCATATAACACCCAGTGCTCCATGCAATAGGTGCCCTCCTTAATACCCATCACCGGGCTAACCCATCCCCCTACCCCCCTCCCCTCTAAAACCCTCAGTTTGTTTCTCAGAGTCCATGGTCTCTCATGGTTCATCCTCCCCTCCGATTCTCCCCCTTCATTTTTCCCTTCCTACTATCTCCTTTATTTTTTTTTTAACATATAATGTATTATTTGTTTCAGAGCTACAGGTCTGAGATTCATCAGTCTTACATAATTCACAGCGCTCACCATAGCGCATATCCTCCCCAGTGTCCATCACCCAGCCACCCCATCCCTCTCACCCCCCACCACTCCAGCAACCCTCAGTTTGTTTCCTGAGATTAAGAATTCCTCATATCAGTGAGATCATGTGATACATGTCTTTCTCTGATTGACTTATTTCGCTTAGCACAATACCCTCTAGTTCCATCCACGTCATTGCAAATGGCAAGAGTTTGGGGTTTTTTGATGGCTGCATAATATTCCATTGTGTATATCTATACCACATCTTCTTTATCCATTCATCTGTTGATGGGCATCTTGGCTCTTTCCATAGTTTGGCTATTGTGGACATCCAAGCATAGATTCTTGAGCCAATACTCTTGGGGTCAAGTTGTCACTTCACTTCTTTCTAGCAGTGTGACTTAACCTCCATGGGCTTCAGGTCCCTATTCTGTAAAATGGATGTGATAACAGATATTCTGCCTTGTAGGGTTGTTGCAAAGGCTAAATGAGATGATGCTCATGCATGGCGAGTATTTCCCAGACCTAGAACTCAATGCTGGGTCAGCTGTATGCTTAGCCTCCATCCAGACTGTCAGGTTCATTATAATAAGGATGTGAATTTGTATTTATGTGTGTCAGTTTGTATATGACGACAAAAAGACTGAAAACGCCACGTGTCTCATGTCTGCAGAGCTAGGCTTGATGCAGGTCCTCCAGGAGTCCAGTAATTTGGTACAGTCAGTCCAAAGAGAAAGAGGCGCTGCCTGTTTGAATGGCCTGGACATCTAGCGGGAGGGCGGGTCAGGATTAGAAGTGCGGTAATGGAGACCTGCCTGTTCTCTCTGCCTTATTCAGTCCTTGAGCTCAGGTCCCAGAGTATATCTTGCTCCACCAGGGGACAGGAATTCGGCAGACTGACTCAAGCTTTGAGCCCTGGTTTGGCTTCTCTGATCTCAGCAGCACATCCAGATGCTAGGGTTAGTGAGCAGCTGATGGAATTTAGGAGCAAGAGAGATCGCCAGCTCATGGTCTTTTCCAGTTTTTATTCTTTCTACTCCAGTATCAAGACAATGGTTAATTTGAAATCTTGCTTTTAGCAAATGTTTCTGAGCACTAGTGTAAATTGGGAACTAGGCTGCCAATTCATCATCTTATATTTTTTCTTTTTTTATTATGAAGTATAATTGAGATATATCCAGTATAATTAATATACATGTAATGTTACTAGTTTTAGGTACACAACATATTGATTTGATAATTCTATACATTACTGTGTTCACCATGATGAATGTAGTCACCATCTGTCACCATACAATGTTACTAAAATATTATTATTATTTGAAGATTTTATTTATTTGTTGAAGAGAGAGAGAGCACAAGCAGGGGGAGCGGCAGGCAGAGGGAGAAGCAGGCTCCCCGTTGAGCAAGGAGCCAGACACGGGACTTGATCCTAGGATGCTGGGATCGTGACCTGAGCCGAATGCAGATGCTAAGTACCTAGTCTTAGCTGCACACCGAGAAAAATCATGTAGTATATATAGCCGGTGAGCAAATGACATAATTTCATTAGCATATGCTTAGAGAAATACAACTTTGAAAAATGAAATTTCTGTTAACACTGGTTTTTATTTCCTCTGGGACCCATTTTAAACTTTGTTCTAGAAATGTCTGGTGACTCAGGATGGTAGAAATCGGTAGGGATGGTGTTTGAAATCAAGAATGGGACCTCTGTTTATTCTCAATATGTTTTTCTTTTACCCTCTTCACCTGAAGTTTGGCTAGTGACTCTATTTGGGTAGCAGGGCATCTCCCCTCGTGTCATTTATTTTCAAAAACTGAGTGATAATGTGTGAGACTGGGATTCAACTTTTGAAACCAAGTGTTGACTCTCACGTGCCACCCTTGTCTGGGAAGACAGGCACCTGTCTAGACAGCAGCCGTCGGCCACCGTGCAGCTGCATTGACTCTGAAAGGTCTATGATGACACCGTCGCCATGGTGACGGGAGGTGCACCTCTGCTATCCTTTCCAACGGTCACTGTTTGAGCTGAGCACTTCAACCCCGTTGACGTGTGTTGCACTCTCCGAACGGAGCATCTCCGAAGATGGGCAATCTCAATTCCTGCTGCTGTTGTGGTATGTTCGTAAAGATCTTCTGAATGCTCTTTGCTACTAACCAGATAGTTAACTCTTTCCAAACTATTTTTCTCATCATTGAAACTTTCGTCTCTCCAACTTGTCATCCAGAGTTATACACATGTTTTATAGTTTTGCTTTATTCCTTGATTTCTATTTCTGGTTATTCTACCAAGCTAGCGGTCTTGGTTTTTGTCCTCCATTGAGAAAAATGTCCTACTTCCTAGTATATCTTGCACCCCTCACTTGTCACCACTCGGGTCTCATGGGGAGAAAATATGGCAATGTCTGTTTTCATTTAAGTTTTTTTAAATGTCCCAAATTATAGATTCACATTACTATTTCTGAAATTTAGAGTGAACCCAGAAAGGTTGATATGGAGGTTATTTATCATTGTTTCCTCCATGTTTTACAATGTCTTCCCTATACCGTTTCTCCCAAAATGGGTATGGATTTCAGTATTTTGGGGACACGTTGGTTCATTCATATAAATTGTTGCCCCAAAGAGATCCTAGGAATATGAGAGTCTGCGTTTCCATTTATGACCCCCAAATACACGTTTCCATGTCTACTGTGGGTGTTATCCAAAATTACATTTTCTAGAGCTATCAGAGATGTGCTACCAGCCATCCCATTCAGCTCCCCAGAGGTAAGCGTGGTGAAAATAGAATGACTTTTTTTCTCAGTTACCCAATGAATAGCCAGTCTTTCAACAATGCTGAAAGATGGGTAAATGGTTAATGAATCGAGTTAATGAGTGATCGATATCCAAGCACATAGATTGTTAGTAAGGCACAAAGAAAAATAGGTGGTGTAGGCACATGAGTAGAGACACAAACTTTGTATATATATGGATAATTGCACACATTTGCACATAGGATTGTAGCTTGAAAACAGAACGAGTCTTCATTAAAGTGGTTTGAGTGTAATGTGTTCTCCTGAGCTTTCCTCCAGATCTCTTTCCAAAAGCTCAGCTATGGTTTTTTTCGATGAGTTGACAAGGGTCTCAGGAACTCATATTTTGTTTGGAGGCACTTCTATTTGTGTGAGGAATAAATAATGCAAGATGGCATTGTTTCACATGTTTTAAAACCAAGACTTTGTAATAGTGACCCTCCCTTACCGTACACTGCGATTCATCTCATTTGATCTGCTGACCATGAGTCAGGCAACTGGAACATTCTAGAGAACAGTCATGGATATTTTTGATCAAGGGCCCCAGAGAGTGGATTCAGGGAGTCAGCAGTAGCTTTTTTTTTTTTTTTAATGTCTCTGATTCTGCCCAAACTAAATTGTGTTAGGGTAAAATGCTTGTATTTAGGCAAAGCAGCTGTGTGTCACAGGGCAATGGTCTCCAATATTTGAATTCTGCTCTGGAACTTGTGAAGTGTGAGATCTCAGACAAGACCTCTAATTAACCTTCCTGACCACGTGACATGCGTTAATTCATTCAGTGCTCATCACACACATATTCAATGTTTTGTTTACTCTCCCTATTCCCCAGGTGGAGGAATGGAGGCACAGAGATGAATGTGGCCAGGTTCATGAACTCCTATGTAAAGGAGCCAGGATATGAACCCAGGCCTGTCCTCCTAGTGCTCATGCTCTAACTACTGATCTGAACTGCAATTATCACTCAGTCGTAGGATCATTAGTTACTGTGCAAAGGAGCTTTAACATCTGTGTGTATGTCAGGAATTCCCTGAGCTAAGGGAAATCCCAAACACTGTTTATCATTATGAGGTAATCTCAGCGGTCACATAGCCCAGGGAAGCTCTTGAGCCATAGAAGTACAGATCTTGCCAGAGTCATTAATACGAAAAGGACATAGAAAGCCTGGTCAGTTCAAAGCCACGGTTGTGGTCAGTTCAGAGACGTGATTGTGGTCAGTTCAAAGATTCTGAGGCTTTGGAGGCACCATCTAGGGCAACCCAGTCAAACTCTGCTTTAATGCTGGCCTACTCCTCGGCCCCTGATCTCATTCTGGTCAGAATCGAGGAGACCTTTTTTTTTTTTTTTTTTAAAGATTTATTTATTTGACAGAGAGAGACACAGCGAGAGAAGGAACACAAGCAGGGGAAGGGGGAAAGGGAGAAGCAGGCTTCCCGCAGAGCAGGGAGCCCGATGCAGGGCTCGATCCCAGGACCCCGAGATCATGACCTGAGCCGAAGGCAGACGCTTAACGACTGAGCCATCCAGGCGCCCCTCGAGGAGACCCTTTAATGGTACTTGATGGCATTGTCAGTATGAGTAAGCCCTAGTAATGCAGAAATCCTGTGAGCCTAGGGACACTCCTGGGACAATGAAAAATAAGACTTAAAGAACCAGTTCATGATTAGCCTTCCGTCCACTGCCCTCATTGCCATTCTCTTGTAGAGCTGAGTTAGAGAGCTGGTCAGTGCCTGGCCAATCAGTGTCAGGGCATGGTCACTCTTCAGGGCATGACACAAATACAATAAGAATCAGGAGCATAATGGGCAGTGCCTGGCTGGCTCAGTCAAGGCAGCATTTGACTCTTGATCTCAGGGTCATGTTGGGCATGGTGCCTCCTTAAAAAAAAGAAAAAAGAATCGGCGACATAGGGTAGGATATTTGATAACATTCTCCCCATGAGCCCTAAAAAATGCTTGAATGCCATGAACTACACACTTTAGGGACAGAGACCAATAAGAACTCAAACACTCGTGACAGCCTGGTGTCCATCATCCTTGTTTTGACACACTTGTCCAGCTGGGTCAGGAAATGTCCATGCTCCAGTGGGGGCCTTTGCTCCTTAAAGAGCTCTCCCATTGTTGGCTAGTAAGTGCAAGCGTGGAGAGCTGCCGTGCTTAATGAATATATACACATAACATCACAAAGCAAGACTAGAAGAAGCACAGCATATAATTAATCATGGTGTTTGGTGTTCAATGATAGGATTTCATTATTTACAAATTGTCAACAATTGATGAGCTTCCTAACAAAGGATGTGTGATTATTATTTTTTTTTAAAGATTTTATTCATTTATTTGACAGAGCGAGAGAGGGAACACAAGCAGGGGGAGTGGGTAAGGGAGAAGCAGGCTTCCTGCGGAGCAGGGAGCCCGATGCGGGGCTCGATCCCAGGACCCTGGGATCATGCCCTAGCCGAAGGCAGACACTTAACGACTGAGCCACCCGGGCGCCCCAAGGATGTGTGATTAAACGCAACAGAATGTTGTGCCTAGATTTGAATCTAGTCTCACAATAAAAGGTTGCTTATTATCATATGCAAAATAGTATACAGCAGATGAGAGATAAATGCAAAAGCAGGTCTGGGTGATCCTTAGGGAGTCATGACAGGGGGAGCTTCTCCAGGGTGTGGGTATGGAGGAGGCCCTTTATATGTGTCCTTTGTATATTCCCTGATTTTTTAAAAAAAGATTTTGTTTGAGAGAGAGCCAGGGAGCAGGAGTGGTGGGTTGGGGGTAAGAGATGAGGGATGAGCAGGCACCAAGCTGAGTGCAGAAACAGAGGCTGGCCTCAATCCCAGGACCCTGAGATCATGACCTGAGCTGAGGTCAGAAACAACCCACCGAGCCACACAGGCTCCCCAGAGGGGACCCTCTCAAAGGAGGTGGGACTTGTTTCCCTACCACTGCAGAGTCTAGAGAAGGATGAGGATTGTCTAGAGACTGGATTTGGCGGGGGGGGGGGGGGGGGGGGGGGGGGAGGAAGGAGCAGGGATGGTGCCCATTCAGAGCCAGGGCAGCCCCTGTTCACTCTTAGCCAGGCCTTTGTCCAGGCTGTTTGGAGACTTACTCAGATCAATAACCAGTGAGACACTGAAGGTCACAGGCTTAATTTCTGAAACCACCAAACACTAGCCCAGGTGGCCATTTTCCCAGTTAACTCACAGGAACTGCTCTGTTGGAGGGAAGCTAATTCTTGGTAGAGCTATCATGTGACTGTTGGATTGGAATGTCCTGGTTTCTGAATCAGCTTGGGAGCCCAGCAGACCACTGGTCACTGAGGGTGGTCCACTGGTCGTGGGGAAGACCCCACATCAGACAGCTAGTAGTGTGAATGCTGTGGGAGGATGGCTGTTCAGAGCGGCTTCTCATGGGGCCATCTGCATTGTGTTCTGGGCCGGGGATTGAAACCTAGAGGTGGGAGGCTGAGTTAGGATTTGGACTTTTCTCTTGGCTCAGGCACCTCCTCCAGCACATCAGCTGTCTCCCACAGACAACTTGGAGCAGGAGGATTTGAGAAAGAGACCGAGGAAGCCCTGGATCAGGGCTGCAGGGCATGATCTCAGGTGCCCTGGGCAGGTCTCAGGTGTTCAGGGACCTCTCTCCCCAAGGAGCCAACTCCATTCCTGTCCCAGATCCCCCACTCATCAGTATGCTCACTCTCAGCAAGTCATCAACCCCATGCTCTCAATGACAGTGTTGTTCTGTCTTCCCTATTGTCTCACTTAACAAAGGTATTGGCCTCACTGTGTCTGCTAGAGCTTTTCTTCTTTTTCTTTGGCAGTAAGTGCACTTAACCTCCAATCTAACCTTTTACTGATTTTCAAGCATAGACTACAGTGTTATTAATCACAGGCCCCATGTTGCAAAGTAGATTTCCTGAACTTATTTATTTTGTATCACTGAAACTTTGTACCGTATCTCCAATGTTTCCCTCTTTGTCCCTCCTCCCAGCCCCATTCTACTCTGTTTCTGTGTTGGACTATTTTAAGTTCCACGTACAAGTGACATTATGCCATATTTGTCTTACTGTGTCTGTCTTATTTCACTTAACACGACGTCCTCCAGGGCCACCCATGTTGTCAAAAATGTTGAGATTTCCTTCCTTTTAAGGCAGAATAATATCCCACTGTATGAATAGACCACATTTTCTTTATCCATTTGTTCATCAGTGGACATGAAGTTGTTTCTATAGCTTGGCTTTTGTGAATAGCGTTGCAGAACATGGGCAGATATCTCTCTGAAATCCAGACTAAAATTCATTTGGATTTATTATCCACAAGTGGGAATGCTGGATCAAATGGTAGTTCTTTTGTAAATTTTTGGAGGAAGTTCCATATTGTTTTTCATAGTGACTGCATCAGTTTACATTCTCTGCTGGGTGTTTTAAGGATATATGAACTATAAGATGTTCCTAAAGCCCACTCTGACTCAGGTGGCTTTGCCAGGCAAATGATGAACAATGGGATCCCAAGTTTGAACTCTGATAAAATTATCACTCATTTTTCTATGGTCTTCTGATACCAAGATGTCAACAGCTCTTTCTATTGTAATGCATTTCCCAGGGCCTACGAACAAGATCAGTAATGTAACCATCCAGAAATGGTTGAGAAGATCTGCTGTCCACCCCCAGACATGGGCCCGAAGGATCTGGAGCCATCGCACAGAAGTTCACCCTACTAAAGGTATCCTGAAAATTCATTCATTAAGCTGATTCAAGAATTATTCTAGGGGCACCTGGGTGGTGTCCAGCTCTTGGTTTTGGCTCAGATCATGATGTCAGGGTCATGAGATTGAGCCCTGTGTTGGGCTCCAGGCTGGGAATGGAGCCTGCCGAAGATTCTCTCTCCCTTTCCCTATGCCCCTCCCCTGCTCACACTCTCTGTGTCCAAAAAAAAAAAAGAAGAAGAAGAAGAAGAATCATTATACTAGCTTGTCACTGTCCCATACTACAGACAAAAATACCAAGCCATATTATTTTTGATTCATGTGTGAAAATTTTAATTTAGTTGGTCACTCATCAGTTTGTAACCACAGTAGTAAAATTGCATTTGCAACTCAAGTGTGGTCACATTTAATGGTAGCTATAGTGAAGCTAACGTTTCCACATTAGTCTGTTGTTTGCAAAAATAGATCTTTTCTTATTTTTTAATTAATAAAGTTTATTACTTAGAATAGGCTTAGATTAACATAATAATTGAGCAGATAATAGAAAAAGGTTCCCTGGCGCCTGGGTGGCTCAGTTGGTTAAGTGACTGCCTTCGGCTCAGGTCATGATCCTGGAGTCCCGGGATCGAGTCCCGCATCAGGCTCCCTGCTCGGCAGGGAGTCTGCTTCTCCCTCTGAGCCTCCTCCCTCTCAGGCTCTCTGTCTCTCATTCTCTCTGTCTCAAATAAATAAATAAAATCTTAAAAAAAAAAAAAAGAAAAGAAAAAGGTTCCCTATCACCCGTATCCCTTGGCGCACAATTTCCACAATTATTAAAACCTTCATCAATGTGGAACATTTGTCACAAATAACAAACCAGTGTAGAGATATTACTGTTCATTGACGTCACCATTTCTTTTAAGGTCTGCTCTGTATTGTGCAATAATATGGGTTTTGCAGGTGTGTCGAGTCATCATATATCCATCATGTACAGAGTAGGTTCACTTCCTTAAAAATCCTGTGTTTCACCTGCTAATGACCTTGCACTTTGTCTAGAAATCTGGGCACCTGTTGACCTTTCATCACATCGATAGCTTTCCTTTTTTTTTTTTTTTAAGTTTTTTTTTTTTTTTTGACAGAGAGAGAGATAGCGAGAGCAGGAACACAAGCAGGGGGAGTGGGAGAGCGAGAAGCAGGCTCCCCAATGAGCAGGGAGCCCGATGTGGGACTCGATCCCAGGACCCTGGGATCATGACCTGAGCCGAAGGCAGACGCTTAACGACTGAGCCACCCAGGCGCCCGATAGCTTTCCTTTTTCGAGAATATCGTAGAGTTGGAACCATAAACCATGCTGCTTTTCCAGACTGACTTCTTTCACTTCTGTCTATACAGTTAACATTCATTGATGTCTTTTTGTGACATGATAGCGCAATGATTTTTATTTTATTTTATTTTTATCACTGTTTTAGATAGAGAAAGAGTGACGGTGTGGGTGGAGGGGCAGAAGAAGAGGGAGAGAGAATCTTAAGCAGGCTCCATGCTCAGCACAGAGCCTGCCTGACATGGGGCTAGATATCATGACCCGGAGATCAGGACCTGAGCTAAATTCAAGAGTTGGATGCTTAACCGAGTGAGCCAACTATGCACCCCGATAGCTCAGCTATTTTTATTACAGAATCGTGTTTCATTGTATGGGAGTATGGTTAGTTGTTTATCCATTCACCTAGTGATGGACAGCTTAGTTGCCTCTAGTTTTGGTGTTCCTAAATAAAGCTGACATGAGCACTCCTGGGCCGGTTTTCGTGTGGACATAATTTTTCAACTCAACTGGGTAAATACCTAAGAGTGATATGGCTGGATTATACAGCAAGACTGTTAGGCTTTTTAAGATTTGATAGAAGTCGGGCGCTTGGGTGGCTCAGTTGGTTAAGCGACTGCCTTCGGCTCAGGTCATGATCCTGGAGTCCCGGGATCGAGTCCCACATCAGGCTCCCTGCTCAGCAGGGAGTCTGCTTCTCCCTCTGACCCTCCTCCCTCTCATGCTCTCTGTCTCTCATTCTCTCTCTCGCAAATAAATAAAATCTTTAAAAAAAATTAAAAAAAAAAAAAGATTTGATAGAAGTCACCAGTCAACCACCCTGGGGCCGGCACTTCCTTTCGCATATTAACTATTGATTAAGTGTCTTTGATACGTGCCTATTCAGATAATCTATTTCCCTTGTGTGGGTTTTGGTAGTTTCTGTCTTTGAAGGAATTGGCTTCTTTTGTTTAAGGTATCCTAGAATCTTACCATGTATTACTTTAGAATCCTTTCAACCTCCACAGGATCAGTAGTGACGACTCCTCTTCCATCTGTATTAATGTGTGTCTTCTCTCTTTCTTCATGGTGAGTCAGGCTAGAGCTTTATCCATTTGACTGATATTTACAAAGAACCAGCTTTTGTCTTGGTTTTGATTTTGTCTGAGAATTAGAAAGTTTTCCATTTCATTGGTATCTGCAATGATATTATTTTCTCTCTTGCTTGCTTTATATTTCATTACTCTTTTTTGCCTTGTTTTCTGTGGAGGACGCCTATTCACTTTAAATCTCTCTTATTTTCCAACACATGACACTCAGTACTATAAATTCCCCCAAGCACTGCCTTTCCATAAATTTTTGTCAATGTACATTTTCATCTCATTTAGTTCAAACTATTTGAAAGTTTCTCTTGAGACTTCTTCTTTGACCATCATGTTATTCAGAAGTGTATTTTTCAATCTCCAGCTATTGGGGGATTTTCCAAGATTTCTTCCAGTTGTTGATCTCTAGTTTAATTTCACAGAGGTCTGAGAGCAGCTGTTGTATTACTTCTCCTCTTTTCAGTGTGTTGAGGTGTGTTTTATGGCCCAGCATGTGGTGTCTTTTGCTGAATGTTCCAGGTGAGCTTGAGAAAACAGTGTGTTCTGCTAGAGAGTCTGTGCTCCAGGAAACCTGGATTCCCTGTGTTCCCTTTTCTGTCTCCTGAGGGCCATCGTTTGCCCTGTGTCCTCCCCTCTCTTATGGATCCCAGAAGAGTGGTTGATTTTGCAGTCTCTTCAGGCTTTTGTGTGTTCTTAGGATGGAAAGGTGATTTCCATGCTCCTGGCATGTGGAACCCTCTACTTTTGTCTTCACGTGCCTTCAACCTCCCTTCTCCTGAAATGTGTCTTGAGTTCAATATATTTGGGCACACGCTGCTTCCCTTCATATGACTAGTTTTCCATAACAGCTGAGAAGAATGTGTCTAGCTTGTTAAGCTTACATACCAAAACACACATTTTCTTTTATGTTACATCCTTTACATCGACCATTATCCCAAAGTATAGGTTTACAGAAATAACAGCAATAAGCTTTCACTCAACCTGTTACCCTCCCCAGAGGTATAGACTGGTGAAAATAGAGAATATATATATTTTTACATATATCCATCGAGTATCCCGCCTTTCACACACAATGAGAGACAAAGAAATCCATTGACAGAGACTGATAAGCAAGTACATAGGGAGTTAGTAACATAGATCAAAAAATAAAAGGTAACTTTTTTTTTTAAGATTTTATTTATTTATTTGACAGAGAGAGGCACAGCGAGAGAGGGAACACAAACAGGGGGAGTGGGAGAGGGAGAAGCAGGCTTCCCGCGGAGCAGGGAGCCTGATGTGGGGCTCGATCCCAGGACCCTGAGATCATGACCTGAGCCGAAAGCAGATGCTTAACGACTGAGCCACCCAGGTGCCCAAAAGGTAACGTTTTGAGATGTAAAGAGAAATAAAAATTTATGCACATAGATAATTGCATATTTTGCATATAGAACTCCAGCTTTAAAAAAAGAACAAGACTCTATGAATGTTGTTTTGATGTCATGCACGACTCAGGTCCCCTGAGTCTTCATTCAGAGCTCTTTTCAAAGGTGAAGCTATGGTTATTGGCATGACATGGCAACAAGTCTTAGCTTGAGGAACTCACATTTAGGAGGAATAAATCAGACAAGATGATACAGTTTCACACATTTTTAAAAAAAATTTTATTATGTTATGTTAGTCACCATACAATATATCATTAGTTTTTGATGTGGTGATCCACGATCCATTGTTTTCGTATAACACCCAGTGCTCCATGCAGTACGTGCCCTCTTTAATACCCATCACCAGTTTCACATATTTTAGAACACCAATATGTTATGTAGATAATCCATCTTTCCCTAGTAAACTGGTGTTCCTCATGTTTGAACAGATAGCTGTTGGGGCAGACAACTTATACCTTCTGGAAGCATCTTGCACATGATTTTGGGAAATGGCCACTTAGTGTGTACTCAGGCAGTCACCAAAGGCACTTCTGAGACCTTTGTCTGAGTCCTTAAACTCCTTAAAGATCTGGCTTAAGAGAAAGTGGCCATTTTTAGACAAAGCAGCTGTGTGCCATGGAAAGAGCACTGACCTGGGAGCTTGGACCCCAGGGTTTGAATGCAGCTCTGAGTTTTGTTAAGTTAATGGGATCTCAGGTAAGACGTTTCCCCTCTAATGAACCTTCCTGAGGGTTTACATGGCATGCTTTACTTCACTAACCACTCAACCCTCAGCAGCAGTGTAGTGGTTTGATTGCTAATAGCACTCTTCAGATGGAGAGAATGTGCCCAAGCACACAAGCTCTTAAGTGCAAACGTCAAAATGTGAACCCAGATGCTGATACCCTGAGATCCTGAATTGCACTTACCACACTGACAAGAGTGGCTCTTAGCCATGGGTTCAAGAGAAACCAGGCAAGGTCTTTCCAAGGCCTGTGTATATTTCTGAACTGCATGAGTCTACAGAGATCCCAAACACTGTCCATCATTATAAGGTGGCCTCAGTGGTCACATGTGAAGGGCAGACTTTGGCATAGCCATTACTGTGAAAAGCACATAGAAGGTCTAAACTGTCTGGTCAGCTCACAGATCTTGAGATTGGGAGGCACAACATTGAAAAACCTGGGAAATCTCTCTCTGTGTTGGGTCACTTGTCAGCAGCTGGCCCCAAACAGGAA